CGCTGACTTGCTGTCGCTGGAGATCACACCGGATCACACCGGCCTGGGCTGATTCAGCCGCGAATCTGAGAAGTTTCCCAGACGGGTTCTTTGTGGTGCAGTCATCAGTGTAAAACGAGTAGACCAAATTGGGGGGGGGGGGCTATCCCTGGGGCGCTCTGCTACCACTGGAAAGAGGAGTCTGAGGTTAGATGGTACAGCCGAACACATAGTTACCTCTTCATTGGGAAATCGTAAATCTACTTGTAAGTAGATTTGGATACATTCCTGGTTTTTAGTATTAAAAAATCCGGGGTAATTTGTTTAATGCTAAAGTCTACAGGTAGTATATGGGCATATATATCTTCACCAGAGGTGGGTGGTTCAGGTCCAGAAAGTAAAAATCCTTAACGATTTTGTTTCAACCGACCAGTTGAGTATAAACAATCAGCCACAGAATACTCAACTGATTGGTTGAAACAATCTTGTTCGGGATTTCATTTCATGTGAATTTCCACCCCTACTTTACTGACCAGATGCTGTTGGATATACTTTTGACTGTCTGTAATGATTTTTTTCTGCAGTTTTCTGATTGGGGGAGAATGACATCTTCCCCGTTCTTTACAAGCTAGATGTACCTGGAACATGACTGTGGTGTTACGGTTCATCAATGTTTCTGACTTTATCTGACTTGGACATTAAGCCGGGGCCGGTTATGTTCGGTTATGTTGCCGAATTCTGCCGTTTTGCCCAGATCATTCTGCTCTTTGCCTCAGGATCAACACTGAGAGGAAAAAGGGCGGCTTGGGTCCAATGAACATCCCCCTAATTGCAGACGTCACGCGCTCCATTTCACACGACTACGGGGTGCTGAAGGAGGACGAGGGAATCGCATACCGGTTTGTGGCGTCACCTTGGCGTCTGCGCTGCTGCATCACTCTTCCACGTTGTATACATAAAATGCCAGAGTCTAGTCCAGCTTGCTTTTGTCACCCCTTGAATCCTTTGTCTTCCTTTTACCCATAATTCCCAGGGGCCTGTTCGTCATTGACGACAAAGGCATCCTGAGGCAGATCACCATAAACGATCTGCCGGTTGGCCGGTCCGTTGATGAGACACTCCGCCTGGTGCAGGCCTTCCAGCACACCGACAAGTTCGGGGAAGGTGAGAGTGCAGGGGCGTGAAAGAGTTACAAGACGGTCATGGAGATCCTTAAAAAAAAATGTAAGGGTTGGTTATTATGGTGGTGGTTAAGGAACTGGACAGGCGCGCAAGAGGTTGTTCTAAGAGTGACTTCTATAGTGTCTGTATTTGGGTACTAGACAATGCCTCAGTAAATAACTAACTATTCAAATTAGTAAATGATTTAAGCAATGTATATTTGCTTAAAAAAAAAAAAACAGGCCACGGAATCTGTACAAACAGAACTGTGCCGTGTTCACGTTTCTGTTCTGGGTAGATGAAGGGTGTTAATTAGTCGTTTGTCTCTATAGTTTGTCCTGCAGGCTGGAAGCCCGGCAGTGATACCATCGTCCCAGATGTGGAGAAGAGCAAGGAGTACTTTTCCAAACAAGATTAACCTGCTGCCCCCCCCCCACCCCCACCCAAACAGCTAGCCTAAGTTCAGTCGCTGGGTCAGTGCAAATCTAACAATTTTGCAAAACTGTTGAGCTGATCGGGTTGCTAGGGTTAAGCACTTAATGTTGTTCAGTCATTTACTGTTCAGGCCTCTAAACTCTTTATGAAGCCATTATTCTGGTTGTTTCTGTATTTGTAGAACTGTTACTGTACAAATGAGCTGCTGTGTTTGATTTCTCGTGTTCACCGAAAAATGTGAAGCTTTTTTCCATCTCAAAGGTTTCCTGCAAATTGACCGTTTTATACTGACATCTAATTGCTGTATACTGCTGGATGATGTTAAACTGACTTTCTTTAGACATGCGCATCTGAAAAATAAAGCTTAAGATGGATCTGAAGCCCTAATTAACTAGATACTGACATTCGGTTTAATGTGAGACTTTTTGTTTGCCTGCATTGTGATTTTCATTTTATCCACAAGGTGGTGGTACACAGCTGTGACTACAAAATAGTTTTACAGACAGAATTCCTTAAAATGAATCTCTAATGATTGCTTATCTTTACTGTACCTAGAATATTTTTTGCACCATAAATATAGTAATATATGTAAGATATATGCAAGGTATCTGAGTGAAAGTTCACATTATAGTCTTGCTACTTGGATCTCGTCCTTAACTGGTTTAAGCTGCCCCATTTGCCATTTAAACTGGGTTTTACACACATACAGAAATGACTTGTACCGTCTAAAAGGCCTGCAGTAGACCTGTAATGAAGATCATGTTGAGCTTTTCTTTGCTAGTATGAGGTTGGTTCTCTCCACTATTTGCTTTAGATTTTGTGAAATTTTCCACCCTGATGCATGCTACCCCCCCCCCCCCCCCCCCCCCCTCTCCCTTCACAGAATAATACCGGACATAACATTCTGCGATTGTCATGTGGTCCATGAGCCAAAAAAGAGAGTTTCGTTTCAGGATGCTATTTATATCTTTTCTTTGGGATGGGATAGTAGTTTCCATTAAATACTTTAAAAACCACAGTAGTCTTCCCACACGTCCGGTGATTTACATCCCAGCTCCAAGCTGTCCAGTGGGACTTGGAGTCAGTCTGAAGGCACTGTGTTTGCACTCTGTAGCGCTTGGTGTTCCATGTGTCTGTTAACTAAATATGTGAATTAAAGGTTTCCAGCAGAAAAGTTAGGGAGCTGCCAGTTTTGGCTGTTTTGAATTTAGATGTCATAGGTCTATCTAGAACAGGGGCAGGCAAGACGCAAACTGTAGTGCTGGTAGGATGGAAAACCTGCTGGGTACCAGCACTGCAGGATCAGGGTTGCCTTCCCCTGTTCTAGGTAGACCTATGACATCTAAATTCGAAGCAGCCAAAACTGGCAGCTCCTTGTCTCTGCTTTAGTTTTTACATATAATTGTCCTGTTGGTTTCATGTTACTGTATTGAGATGTGGCTAGAGGTGAGACCTGGGGAACAGTGACAGGCGACTAGGGAAAATTAATGCGTCTCAGTTGTGCCATTACCACTGCTGATTCTTTTCCATGTGGGCTGAGCTTGTCTTTTTGTCAGGTCGCCCCACGAGATTTTGTAGGTACTTCGTTCCGTCAGCCGATGCCAGCTGTTCCTGAATCTGGTGTAGGTGGTGAATGCAAAAAGGAACAGAAAATATCTGAAAAATAAAGAACCACATGTAGATCAGAGTCAAATATGGGAGAATTAGATTAAAGACGAGACTGGTTTGCATTTACTGACCACCACCTAAAATCTCGAATTCCTGCTCTTTGCCATGTCCTTGCTTGGTGTATAAAGACAATTTCATGGAAATTCCAGACATTTTGAACAATGAACAAAAGTAGAATACATTTATATGTGATGAAATGGATGTTGGATACATAAAGGCCTCCGGAATAGAAAAAAAGGTGTTAATGTAACATAATGATACCCACAAAATGCTAATGTGGAGAATGTTCTGGATGTATGGAGACCAGAAGCTTTAAAGGAGGTTGGATGTTATATTTCCATGTTAAGTGCATAATTCTACTTGTGACCAATTAATGCCTGGATTATTCACTGGACCATCTGGTCACAGGCAGTCCAGTAGGAAGATGTATTCCTCTTTGCTAAGGAGAGCTCTGCATCATTTGCTAATCACCAGGTGACTTAATTTGATATTACGTAATAATCATTAGAGCTTTTCAAAATAAAGCTTTAATCCTGTTTCAAATGTATGTTAAGCGGGAAATTAACTAAACGTGACTTGCTGAGGGACCGATGACCGCTACTCCACATGGGGGGAGGACATGTGCATTCTTTTAGGGTGATGTAGCCCCCGGAAGCGCGCGCGCTGGTCCGTCCGGGCCCGAATGTTACCAATTGGTGCGCGTACACGTGCAAGACGCCCACTCTCAACCTGTCCCGCCGGCAGCCTGCCCATCAAAATACATTTTTAAATAAAAAATCCACCCCCAGCATTCCTCGAGCGCACGTCACTTCCGTCTGTATTTCCAGTTATGTGATGAATAGCGAGACAATTGCCTCCACCACGTTTGAAACACCAAATGTTGTTTTGCACCACCCCCTGCCATGGGCCCATTTGGTGCTGACATGAACGTGCTAAAAATTGTTCGTTCCGTCTCATGGCAAATAACCTCACTATCAAAATATGCCTATATATAAGCACTTCATCTGATAATTTGTCTGTAAACATGTGTAAGAAAATGTTTTATTTGAGTATGAATTAATTTTGCAGGATTGTCAGTTTAATACAGGGATGGCTGAGATGTGTTTTTCTGTAGTATCAGCGTAACAGTGTGTACATCGCTTACTACTTGATTGTGTTTTTATTTTTATTAAAACTTTTCCTCAGTAAGGACCAAAATAATTTCAATCTTTTGCAAAGTGTAAAACCCGATACTTGACTGTTTCACCTTTTATATCGGCCGTGTATCTGTGAGCACTTTTTTGCAGTTGTTTTGGGAACAGGGCAATATAAACAGCTGTGCACAACTTGGGAAACTCCCCGTCATTTTGTGTGTGTGTGTTTTAATACTTCGCTTACAGTACTACTAGGAAATAAAGCAGACACATTAAAATCCTTTTTAACTGGCAACCTAGGCGGAGGTTTCCGGTAAGCGAGCCCCTTTTGACGTATTAAACACCCAAATTGACCATATATGGACATTTTCCTATACGTCAGCAGAAAAAGACCCCGACGCTTTCGCTTTTGAGACTTGCTTGCTTCTAAATCTGTCCATGTTAATTTGTACGGACACGCCATAGATGTGTGCATATTATTAATTTTCAACACCACACTAGAATGGAAGACTATACAGTAGGCCTTATGTTAGGTGTGATTTCCTCTACACACACAGATATGGGAAACTTTCGTCACAATGTTATTTTAACTTATGATAAATGTATATATTCACAAACATGAAGTCATTTTAAAGGGTATTTTACTTAAATATATTGTACACAGATAAAAATCGTAAACAACTGACTTCATAGGGATTTGTCTGTATCAACCTGCCACTTACAGAATAATTTACATGGTTTTGGGAATGCTGCAACGAACGAAATAACAGTTGTAACAAAGGCATATTTAAAAATACACCCACCCCTCACTCCTTAAGCAAACAACTTAACTTATAAACACAACCGGGATTAGTCGAATAATTTATTCCAGCCTTCTCCGGTCATCGGTGTCGCTGCACATTTTAATTATGTAAAACTATAATTATAGTATACATATATCTAGAGAGTAATAATCGGCGATCCACTGCTTTCAGGATTTCTTTTACAAGAAAACAACAACATACATCTAAAACAAATGTCCAGTGTTTGCACTTTAAAGGTAGTCTCTGGGTTTAAAACGTATCCATCTTGCTGGTTAGCATGAGCTGACAGCCACTGTTGACATGTGTCATGACTTTCTGTTTGAGCTGCGCCACTTGCTCCCTGAGCACCGACGCGGTGCTGGACAGGCCCGCATTGTCCGACTTCAAGATCTTCACCTTATCCTCCAGGCGAGCGATGCGCTCCAGTTTGCGCCGGCGGCACTTGGTGGCCGCCAGTCGGTTCCTCTGTCGCTTCCGCTCCGCCTTAATGCGCTCTTGGTTTTCCATGTTGATGGGCGACACCGGCGGGGAACTGTCACTGCTCTGCATGTCGGGGACAGTCTGCGGCTCTTCTTTCGGGGCGACCAGGCGCTGTGTGTGTAATCCTGCTCCGGTTAACGGGTGCTGAAAGTGATGGGCCGTCGCTGCCTGCTGCTGCGGCAAGTAGCTGATGGTGGCCGTGGGGTAGTCGGATCCGGACGTGAGGTTAGTGTTGGAAGCGTACGCGTTCAGTGTTGTGTAAACAGGAGGCTCGGCAGGCAGGGAGGAGCCGAAGCCGGAGGCCGCTGCCGTGCACGTCGTCACACCACCGGCTCCAATGGACACATTGGGCGGGGGTATATGGTTCATCTTGTGCAGCTCGTCCAGAGCCTTCACGAACCCGTCCGCGAAGCCCTCCTGCTCCTCGGTGATGCCGCAGTTGTAGAAATACTGGCCAGGCGTGGGAGTGGTAGTTATAACGCCGTTGCTGTTTTGGATGATCAGTCTCTCCAGCTCGGGGGAAGCCAGTTTTAGCGATCCGACGTCTTGATTGGCCGGCTGGAAGAAATCAGCTTCGGCTCGCAGCTGGGACTTCAGGCTCCGGTACGGTTCGGCCGCGGCCAGACTCATGTGTTGCTTATGTAGCTTGAATTCGTGCAGGGAGGTGTCGGGGTGGCCGTAAGCCGGAATAAACGACTCGTCGTGATAAAACGGCTGCTCCATTTTTGTAAACATATAAACTTGGGTAAAATGCGCAAAATATAGTGTGAAAATCAAAAGTAGGCCTGTTTCAATGGTTTCAAGGACGATGAAAATAACGAAAGCAATGAATGAACAGCATAGATTAAAAAAAAAAAAAAACCCGTCCTATTTTCGAGCGCTTTAGTAAGCAGATTTAAACGCCAGTATTTTTCTGCTTTTAGCAAGTGACAACGTCCATGAATTTCATCGTAACACACAAAAAGAGTGAACTATCCATCAAAGAAGAGAAAAAAAACTCCGAAATATATTTTGGAGAACTTCAATGTCCTTTTTCCCTGTGCGGCAAGAAAACGTCCAGAGACTAAATTCTTGATTTCTCCCCTTTGTCCGCGGTATTTTTCCTATAAGTATTTTTGCAGCGTGCCAAAATGTGAGCAGGTTTTATTATGCTGCACAGAAGTGCATCTCGTGTCTAAATGCCGGTGTTTGTCCTGCATGCCATTTTATATATGTATATATGCAAACAGACAAACCGCTGCCAAAACCGTCCAGGATCAGCGATTGGTGTTTGGCTTTCTGACGACACTAATTCCCCCGCCTCCTCCACCTTCCTCCCACCCCGCGGCACAACGTCAGATCGCCGATGACGGTACTGCCAGGAACCTCGGCTATTGTAAACAAGCATTAATTGTTTCATCTGTTTCGAAGCCTGAATTTGAAATGCTAGGATATTTTTGTATTCGTATTCCTTTATAACATCTCTTTAACGAAATCAAATAAAATAATTAAAATAAATGGAAAAAGTTCTCTGCAAAGTATACCCACTGCACCGGACATTAACGACATTTACACGTATGCGTAAAATAACTTCTTTCTGTATGAAAATAAAACGTGATTGTATTATATTACTGCATGTACTTCGCTGAGCATTTAGATTTCTCACAGTTGCCAGTTGCAATCGTTAATGGGGGGTGGTCAGCCCTGGTCTACATCATGCTCTAAACGTTTTTCCGCCTTATAGCAAAGCAATAAAAGTTCAATGAAAAGTATTCGCCACAAGACCAAGACCAAATTCGTTTGGGTTTTTGCAGTTAGTGTTGTGTTCTATCTCAATCACCCTTCAAAGCCGCAGGTCTGCTATTAATCGCAAAAAAAAAGTATTATTTTCATCATACGTGGCCATCCGTTCGTCCAAATGAATTCTAATACTTTTAATTAGTTGTTTAATAATATTTCACTTACTGTTGATCAGATGTAATAAAAATAGTATGCCCACGAGTAGGCCTATGTATAGCCTACCTGAAAATGGTGGTGTGTACTCTGGTACCGAGCAATATATAGGTAATCTAATCCCGATGAAAAACGACAAACCGTTAGTAATAATAATTACTATAATTACTATTATTATCATTGTTGATGATGTTGTTATAATTATTAACGCTTCGTCCTTTTTCGTCGGGATTAGAGACACAAGGATTCCTCAACAGGTGGCCTCAGAAGTGTGGATAACAAGGTGACAAGGCGGGGGTAAAAGCGGATAATGAAAAATGCAGAAGAACCTGCGTTTTGAACTGGTCGGGTACGCAGGGCGGAATGTGTCGCCGCGCTGTCATGTCTGCCAAAAATCGGCAGATTCTTCACGGTGAAACATGTTGCTAGGATACGCCACAGGGCCTCTCAGAAATGGACTCGGAGTCACCGAATAAAACCTAAATCCATTATTATAAGGAGGTTTATTACTTTGAGTTATCTACCTTTTGTATTTGTTAAGGTGCTTTTTTATTGTACCTACATTTTTATAGGGTTGGTGTACTGACACCCCATCCTGGATGTACCTTAATTGATTTCAGACTTGCAGTTGGATGGATAGATGATAAGACACAGTTGTCGGAGAAAACATTTCCAAGTCTGAGGAATCTTGGTGTTACAACCTTGATCGAGGTATTTGGTTTGCTGCATGGAAAAATATATATAGGCTATGTATAATTATTTATAAATATTCCTGTCATGTGGTAATTTTTACGCAACTATTCGCTCAGGAAAAAAAAATGCACGTATAACATGTCAGCTTCAAAACGCCTTTCTCCTTCCTGGTTTTATCTGTGTGGTTTTGTCTTTCCAGCATCAGCGTCACAGGCTGAGCTTGACGCCTGTGACGGGCGGCGCTGAGGTCCGGCGCGGTGGCTGCTCGCTTCTGACACCCCGAGTGGGCTGCGTACCGCTGCCGCGGCGCTTCTGCGGGGCTTTCGGAAGCGCACTTCGTTATCTGTAGATGATGCGTGTCTGGGCGAAATGCCAGAGAAGTCTGCACCTTTTCCTGCCTTATGTTATGCTCGTGTTTCCTCTGTGCCGTTATTATTACTATAATTGTTGATGTTGTTATTAATAGTTATTCTATTTCCGGACATTATTCGAATAATCGTGTCTGGGAGTATTGGAAGGAGGCATATCTGTAGTTTAGAATGTGAAGAAAAATACATCTTAATTCAATCGGTTCAATCTTTTGTTTCCAGGTACATGAATCAAAATTAACTAATATAAATGAATGTTGAGTAGAAGTTAAAGTTATGTACGGTAAGAGAGCAAATTGTAGGCTACATGTTTGCACTCTAAAAATGCTGCGTTAATAACAGCCCAGCCTGGGTTAACTGGCAACCCGGTGCGGGGTAAATGGACAGAACAAACGCTGGGTTATTTTGATCCAGCGTCTTGGGTTATGCAATTTAGCCATGATGCTTGTTTATAACAGCTACCCAGTGTCGGGTTAAATTAACCATTGGTATGGGATTGTTCTTTTATGTCTTCTGTTATTATTAAATATAGGCCTATATTAATACCATCTTTAGTGGTTATATTTCGTTGTTAAATATAATCACAAATAGGCTACCAAATCTAAATATTTATTGTCGATAGAATTAAGTTTCAGAACATACCAACGAACTCGGCTGCATTTCAAGGTCAAGCTGTCCGGGTTAAAGCCTCGATAAATACCCGCTTGACAAAACGTTTTCCCTCATGATACCTATAGCTTACAGGTAACTAGCTAGCTTAACTAGCTGACGTTAGACGAAAAACGGTATAACTCTATCGTTGAAAGAGATTGAGTAAAACTTCAAAGTAACATTGTTGTTGTTATTAATATTTAATTGGAAATATTACTATAACATAATGAACTAGACGTTCGTCTAGTTACATCTAGGCCTATGCCTCATCAGCCGTTTGAGGGGTGTTTGGGTGCTTGTCCAACAGTTCCGATGAAGATTTTTTTAATGTGTGCTAAAGACGGTACAGGTTCAAAAGTGATGGGTCCAAAACATAACCCTGCTACTAGGTCAGGTCACACAAACACTGGGTCAGAACTGGCTACTGGACTGAAAATAACCGATCATTTTCTAGATCGTGTGCTGTTGGGTCGCATTTTTTTCTATCTTTCACTGTTCATAAGATCTGTTAAAACGATTCGGAGTTTACTGCGATAAATCTGGATACTGGAAGTTCAACATGGGCACGTTTTATCCATTCGATTTGTTTGCCCCATCTTATCAATTGTATAGCCTACTGGACTTTTTCCTCATTGTTATATATAAACATTCTTTTATGTATGATTTATGTAATGTGTGTCTATATATGTCAATATGACTGAATTTAAATGCACATTAACTCCTTACAGCCTTTGTTTTCCGGGTGCGGCTCCGCTTTTCGTGGTTGAAGCATCAGGCTATTCTGGCACGATCCGTGACTCACAGCAGGCAAATCCACAGTCCTGCGGGGTCAAAGCCTCCAGACGAGTACCAGAGGCTTTCAGCTGCCCGTCAGTCGCTTCGCTTCTTGCTAGTCAGCAGAAGCGAACGAGTGAGTGGGAGTGACAGATGACAAACAAAGTACTGCTCCACGCCGCCATCAATGGCCCCGCTTGAGGAGGCCACTTACTGCCTTCTGAAGCATCTTTTCACTGAACAGTTGAACTTCTCACACACAATAGATGCTTTCATGTTGTTTCTCAGCGTGGGGGTTTGGGTAGCTATAAATAAGCCAATCCACAATTAAGAAGTCAGACCCATGTGACTTTATTGTGAAATGCGCTTGTGTTGCCTTCTTATGACGGGTTGCTCAAACTTCATTATGTCTGTAATTGGAGGTTATCGAGAGGCTGTGATGTTGTGATGGATGTCAGACATGAGTGAGGAGCCACTTCTGCTTTTGCCGGCTTCCTCTCCCTCAGTATCATGCAGATGGAAGCTGCGATTGCTGTTACCTGAAACTGTACCGCAGGGAGCATCTACAGGAATGGATCCTTAATGCCGGAAGTTACTAGTGTAAATATCAGGAGAAATGCTGATATATATAATATATAAACTACTATGCAAAGTCTTACACTGCCACAGAAAATAATGTTTCAGATATGTTTAAGCTGGTGTAAAACTATGATTTTATGTCTGTCAAAGCTTTTCATTGTCAGCTTCCAAGTTTAAAACTTCTCTTAAAGTTGCCACAGTTCTTTGCCGTTACCATCCAGTATGCTCAGATATTTGTTGAAGTCAATCACTAGACCTCCCTCTTTGGTTAATCATCATGAAGTTCATTAAACGTTTAACTTAATTATTTAAGTGAATTGACGTGAAATGGTTGAGGTGCCCAAAGGAAAGATTCTTCTAGTTCTCTGACAAGATATCAGTAAATCTCTGTGGAACAGAATAAATGTTTATTCCTTTTGTTGTATTCGTTTTAAGTTTTACTCTTCAGTAGTATATATTCCAGGGTCAAATTATATTTTTCTGAGCAAAGATGCACTTTCTGCCAAGATAAACAGCTTAAAACATCATTTTCTTTTATCACCTAAAACTTTTGCAGAGTACTGCATACTGCTCTGGTTAAATATCCTGCTGTCGAATTGGGCACTATTGCAGATGGCTTCAGATAAGCTAATTTAAAAACATAAACCCTGTCCTGCTGTGGGTTGGCATTCTGTCCAGGGGCTGTATCACAGAGTGGGATTTCTTGCTCAGCTAGATAACTTGTCGAATTTGAGGCAGTCTGGCATAATGTAAGATGAAGTCCATTTAAATCGGAGTACTTTCAATCTGACGAGTTTTCTACAGTAGTTAAGTCCCAAGGTGTTCTCTTGTAGCTCCTGCACCCTTTTCAGGGGGGCAATTAATCAGTTATCGAAAAGGGGCACTTAAACCCTGAAATGGGAGGGCCTCACAGTTGTTCGGGCTGATGGTCAGACACTTAAGTTTAGGAGTTTAGGAAACCCAAAAGGCGTTTTTCTATAGGAAGCATCTGCAGAAAGAATATAGAACTGTTTATTTGAGCAAACTGTCCATTTAAAATCGTTTTCCCCGTAATTTCATTCCGAGCGAAACACGGTTAGCAGTGGCCCGGCTTGAGCATCATGTTGACATTTTCTGGCGCAGAAAGGTGATGATGCATCTTGGTTTATGGAGAATCAAAGACGAAAGGAGAAGGAAGAGGGGGAAATCTTTGTCTTTCGTAAAAAACAGCCTGATCTTCAGTGGTAAGTATTGCAGATGTCCCCCATGCTAACTATTAGCACACCGTTACCTGCGCAGCAACAACACTCCGGGCCTCCGGTTTGAAAGGTAACTGTATACAGTAGCTCCTCCGTATCCGCGGTTTCTATAACCATGGTTTCGGTTATCTGCGATTTTCCACGGTCCGAAAAAAATGTAAAATGTATATTAATATGTTCTTTCGTTGTTGCTTCATCCTTTGAGGGAAATAAAATCATGATCTTCATCACTAGGTCATCCATTGACACATAATACTTTTTCATTACTTTATCTAATCAAAAATTAGGCTAAAACATCAGAATCCCTTTAATTTGAGAGTGCAGTCCTGTATAATAATATACAGTATAATTTATTACTACTATATATAATGTTGTTAATACAATTACCACATGTAGGAACACAAAAGTTGCATTATATATGTGGTCGGCAGTTGGTTCGCTATTATCTGTGGTTTTGGCAATCCGTGGTACTGTAGGTCTCGGAACGAATCACCCCATTTACTGATTATACCTGCAGGAGACGGGGACAGCGTCTGCATAGGGATGAGCAGCCGTTGGTTCAGGTGGTTTTATGGTGTATTTCTCTGGTTGAAATTATATAATTCTCGGTATAAGGAAGTCTAAAGGGTCAGACTCCTGATTTATTTACTGATTAGTCATGCAGATGTGACTGAGCTATGAGGTACGGGGCATCGTTAGATGCAGCCTATCTGTACACTCTGGGTTTCTCTGTGTAGGATTTGGTTATGATTAAAGGGCTCTTTTCGTTCACTTACAGTTCATGTGAAACATTAGAGATGAATATTTAATGATGACTGTATAGTAGCGCTGCAATAGTATTGCGCAGTTACCTCGCGCCACCATCTTTGCGCATCGTCAGTTATGTACTCCCAGCACGCGAATGCAGGCACGTCAAGTAGGGCTTTATTGTCACAGCAGTCAAATTCAGCATACTGCATACCTGACGCAAAAAACGTTATATAAAGCATTATACAAAACCAAAATAAATAAAAACGAAGTAAAGCCAAAAATATAAAGTGAAAACGAATATTATTGGTGTGACCAGCTGTTAGCTGCCCGTTATGAGAATATCGATCGTTAATTACCTGGGAGGAAGCGGGATTTCTCAGTTAGCTGGGTTAACTTAAGTTAGAAATCTTGATCGTCCAGTGAGAGTTTAGCTAAGGAGCATTCATTCATATTGGACTTCTAGCTTAAGTTAACCCAGCTAACTCAATACTCCTGCTTCGTGGATAACCCCCCTGGTTTTTAAAATGTCGTGGGTAACACAGGAACAAATAAGTCACTAAAAGGAGGTGTAATTTCTTTATTTCTGACTAGGTAAAATAAGTGTATAGGGAAAATTATTGTGGAGGATAAATCTCATGCTTATGTATTATATATTGTGTGTCGTTATCTCATTTCCGTCGTGTAATGTTAAGCAGTTATGTTGCTTTGTGCTGTAACGTTATAGTGCTGTGGCTGTTGTCATTGTTATTATAACAAATCTACACACATAAGTGAATGTGTTTTAAAAGTAAATTGCAGATCGATTTATCTTTATCTCTGGATGTGGGGCATTTATTCGGGTGAAGGTTCTGTCTGAGGGGTTATCCCTTCTTGTGTTCCCCTTGAAGCTGGTCGACTCCTCACACTGCTGTGTCCCACGTTTGCTGTTGACGCCAGTCAGTGTTGCCTCTGTCATGCATAGTGTTTGGTTCGCCTAATGTGAAAGGATCAGAATGGTCTACAGGCAGCAAAAGACCCTCCCTCCTCCCCGCTCTGCAAAATTCATCGTGGCTAACCCACCCCCAGTCAGCAAAATTTATCATGCTGTCGGGGACCTCAAAGGCCAGGGCCGAAATTTAATCTCCGTTCAGCCCATCCTTTTGGATATGTCTCCGCATTGTATTTTAAAAACCAAAGAATCGTTTAATGTTATCAGCTTCCCTCTCATAAATTATGAGGCACAAAAAGACATTAGATTACTAGTGTTCAAGTTGGGTTACATCAGTCAGCACATCCATGAACAGAATGGGGATCATGAGATAAAGTAGCATTAGCATGCTTACAAAAACTAAGATGTTTACTAGCTAAGGAAGCCCAGGGGCCTGTACTATGAAGCGGGGTTACTGGCTTATCGGGGTAACTTGTCGGATTTAAGGTAGTCTGGGCAAAATGTAAGTGAACAAATATGAAGTCCATTTAAACTGTGGTACCTTAAATCCGACAAGTTACCCCGATAAGCCAGTAACCCCGCTTCGTAGTACAGGCCACAGTACTGTTATCAATAAACATGTAAACATGGAAACATCAGTAATTTTAGTGTTATTCTTTCTAGATAACCCTTCATCTCTCTTCCCTGGATTGCCATTTTGTTTTACAACTTTGGATATCTGAAAGTGTCCTTTACTGCTGGTTTCGCAAACCCCGACCATGACGAACTCGGCAAAAGAACACAGTACACGCCGAATATCACGCGCGGGGCGGGAAGCTGCACCAACATGGCGGATGACGGCTGTTGCTTGGTGTGACGGTACAGTGGATTGTCACGCGCAATCCTCCTCGCTTGACATTCACGGCAACCCTATACCGCACAGGTGGCTGGAAGATGGTTGTATATTTAATGGCGAGGTCTGAGCTATGTAGTATGACTCGTCTGTATGTTCCCTATGCCTTTCTCATGAATCAGTAACAGACGTACTCATCACCTTTTGATTAGTAAAGCCCAAAGTGCACTGGGCTGCACTTATGTTTCTTTTTCACAGTAAACAAACACAGTGTTCACTGATAAATAAAAAAATAAAAAAACTCTGATGTAAGATCACAATCACACGCCCCGGCATTTGCAGCCATAACTGAACGCACTCGTCCAGGAGATTCCCCTGCACTGCCGTGAAGGCCTTGTTCCACACAGCTGCGATGCCCCTTTGGTGCCTCTCACTCTCTCACAGGTCTTTACGTTTTCATCTTGACGGACAACATCTCGCCCAGCCACGGTCTCTTAGCCCTGGGGCATATTTTTAATAGAACGAAGCAAATCTCCTGCTCGCTCTTTTTTTTTTGTTTTGTTTGTTTAGGCGATGCTGCCGCGTGCCAAAAATGCTGCGAACCTCGAAGAGAGGTCCACGGGATCCGTGAGTCAGGCAGCTGGGCGGGCACGACAGTGTTGGTTGCCAAGGGAGACAGCGCATCGGCTTAACAAATGGAGATTGTCGCATGTTTGTTTGTCTGCTGTGGGGCCTTGCCGATGGCATGTGGTTTCACCTTCGCTCCAGTCCGCTCCCACTGTTCCCATTGCTCCCAGCCTTTGTCATTCCGTAACCAGCCAGTCTCCACAAGAGGCTCCTGAAGGAAGAGGCCACCATCTCCAGATATCACCTGCAGTATCTGTGTGAGCGTGTTCCTATCAGAAGAAGAGGGGCAGCTTGAAAAGGCTTTTCCAGACTCATCTCCGTTGCCGCCTCCATGTTTTTTTTTTATTTGGCTTAACGTTTATTTTTAAATTGATTAAATGTGCAAACCCTGGTGTGTCGTTACCTAGAACGCTCTGTCCCTGTGTGCCTGCTTTTCTTTCCACGCGATTAATAGGTTTTATTTCTTAAAAGCTTGACTGTTCCCATTTTAATCCATATGGTGTCAATAAAACTGGCATAATTCAATAAAATGAATCACGCAGGCAGTAAATAATTTCACTCTTAAATATTCGCTGACGGCCGCACATTCGTGAAGCGTGGCGTCTGACGGACAGCCGTGTCGTAAATTAGATACATAAATCGATGTAAACCATAAAAATGCACCGATTCAAAACTGCTGTATTCTAAGTATGCGGCCAGCTTGCAGGCTACAGCAGGAGCTCTCCACGTCTCTCACCTTCACTCTTCTTGATTAACTTCCCAAGCCGATAAGCATCTTCGGAAATGCCACGTATCGCCATGGAGATGCCCGGGGAAGCCACGGAGGACCATGCCACAGCCTGATCTTAAAGTGGAAGTTGAGGGAGATGGGGGGAGGGGCGGTGTTGTGGGGAGAGCTGGTGACTAAGGAGTGATCAGCACCGCGATCACAAACACACAGGAACATCCACATGTCATCGATCTATAAACGTGCTATGTAGACGAACATGTCTTACTCACCTTAAAGCAGACACTCTCATGACACTTCTGTATCATGGAATTGGAATGTTGTGTAATCTACTCATCCGCTCATTTCCAGCTGTTTAACCAGTGCTGTTTTTTTGCAGGGAGTACAGGGCGTATGGCAGGGGAACACGGTGGACGGCAGTAAAAAAACGAGGAGGTAAACATGACGCTTTTATGCGCTATGATTTACGGTGAGCTAATACAGCTGCACAAGATGGACATTTAGCATATGAGCCTCGGAAGGTGTTTCTCCACGATCTGGCTCTGCTCTGTAATTATTTCTCCGTGAGCTTGTGGAATCGCTGGGCTTTGTGTGGGGCGGAGCAGTCGTTAAACATGTAGAGGCATGGAGCCCCTGAGGTCATACATGTTTTCCCTCAGTGGGTATGTATGCCGTAGACACACCTGGCACGCTCACAACCTGACTTCGAGATTCGTGGGGTCACCGTATGGTGCAGGAGATGAAGGTCCAGTCCAGAAGATTCTGGATCTGTGTCTAAGATTGTTTTTACATGATGAACTGTGATACATCTCTCTATTGATGGTGTGGAGGTCATACGTTGTTGATGTTTCTGTTGGTACCTTAATGTTAGGATCAATGACTGTAGCAGGCCCAAATAAGCTCCCGTTAAATGAGGGTCACTGTTTAATGTTTATTTTAGGGCCTGAATGGAGAGACTTCAACAGCTATTCTGTCACTTTAAGGACAAGTGACATAGGATAAGTTTGTTACATGCAACGGTGAATCCCGTACAAAGGGCCAGGTTTGAGATCTTGTGCGTGAATAGGGTCACTGCAGTTGGTTATGTGGTTCGCGCACAAACCTCAAGCCAATCACCACCTCTGCAGCACCTTCTTATCGGGGGTCGAGGCAGGAGTCCCTAGGCCAGTGGAGAAACAGTGTCACCACAATAAACTGATCTGAAGTCAGTCCTGCTTACCCTGTGCCTGTCATATAGGGAAGTGCTTACCACAGCTTACCAATAGCATCTCATGTGCACAACTTTTAATAGATTGTGGAACAAAAACTACTGTGGTTTATCTGTGTCCGTTTTTTCCACTATTGGACTAAAAAAGTAAGATGTTTTAATGCAGTTGCAACATGTAGCACAGGGATTTGGACGCATGTCGTGTGCTAAGGCCTGCGGAAGTCCCTCCGGTTCCTAACGGATTTGAAACTGATTTTTATTATCTGCCTCGAGAAAAACAGAACCCAGCCCCATAAAAAATATAAATTACAACGTGCGCGTGTTTGCCTCAGTACGTCTGTGGAAACTGCAAAACACCTCTTTACTCCACTCTGACAAATAAAGCAGAAAAGCCACAAAAGCACCCCCCCCTACACAGAAGTGGTTAATGCCAGTACCACAAATGGCTGTTTACGCAGTGCAGAACACTCCCCCCCCCCCCCCCTCGAACTGGAGAGGTGGCCTGTGCCATTTTGGCGGTGTTGTTATGTCATAAAAGTCGGCGCTTTGTGACTGAGTTACAAAGCTTTCATTTAACAGTAACACTGGTGATATTGACAAGTGCATAAATGCATATAAATTCGAAAAGCCCGACACCCACAATGACTTGCATCTTTCTCTGAGCTGCCAGTTCCGAGATTCTACTTTTTTTTTTTTTTCGTCTTGTAACGGCCCTTTTCTTTTGCAGAGATTTATAGATTTTTTATTTTTTTTTTGCCCAAGCCAGGAAAATGAAACAGCCAAGCGGCATCTTGTGTGGAAATGGCTGCCTGAAGCGATGTTTAAGTCCCCGTCTGAGAGCGTGGAGCAGCGTACGTGGGCGTCCAGGTGGTCTCCACGTTCTCATGACATTTCACATTCGACACCAGTCGCCGACTGGAGTTCGCCTCTCTGCACTTACCCCTCTCCTATTTTTCTTCATTTT